CTTTCAGCGATTGCTAAGAGCAATAGCATGTACAAAATGTATATCTCAGAATTTTGATATCGATGACCTAAGGTCAGGTCAATTTTGCGACCTCCCCATTATAAGTCAATGGGAGAAAATTGAAATGCGCCTCTTTTGGATGAAAGACATTATAAACACTCCCAAACACCGAATTACAAGTGGTTTAGACACACTGAACTTGAAAATGGTGTCCGTGACCCTTGTTTATGCCCTGAGGTCATCTTAGGTCACGAATGGTATCTATCAGTTTTTCGCAAATAACTTTTGATAGAGGCATGCTAGAGCGATGAAAACGCCTTAGATGTGTTCAGCTCGACGATACGGATCGACTGATATGCAACATGACCCTTTCCGGTCAGGTCATGACCTTGACCTGAGGTCAAATTTTCAAGTTGACCTTTCAAGGTCAAGTTATAGTTCATTCGATGCGTCTTGACGAGAGGAACACGATGCCCGTAAAAGTAAGCTCGTACAAGGCTTGGGTCAAAAGTTATTGCAGAAAAACTGTTTTCGAAAAAATCGGCTATTTTTGCAGTTTTTGCCCCCTGCAGGCAAAACCGTTGACGTTAGGTCAAATCTGAGAGAATTACTCAGAAAGGGCGTTAATAGGGCTATCGAATGCGCTTTTCCGCGGCGCTGTAGCTCTATTGGTTCCCGAGTTATGCGTTGGCTTCTTGGAAATTTTCGACATTCGACCTGGAAATCGGCGAAATTTTGCCTTCAATGACCTCTGGTGACCTGACCTTTGACCTGACCAAAAAATTGACCGAAGTGATTTCGTCATTATTTTTTACGCTCTTTCGAACGCCGCCTTCCGCGTATCGCTACGTGGCCCAGGAGCCGAGTTACAAGGGGGGGTGTTCAAACACCCCCCCCCCCCCAGCAGGGCGTGGAAATCCAGGACCCCCAGCAGGGCGCGGGTTAAAAGCGTGAGCGTCCTTCCGTACGCACTTTTCAGGTCCACCCAGTAGTGCAGAGACCAGGGGCACCCAGCGCTATATCAGATCCATCCAGCGGCAAGGGGACCAGAGGCACCCAGCGCCAGTGCTGTGGTAGAAACCGGACCGGCGCCACTCAATAAACAGTTCCGTCACGGAGCAAAAACGCCCGATCGGGCTCTGCTGAATGAATACACTGTCCGGGAATGACAGGTGAATGGTTAAAGATATCGCTTTAGAAGAGTCGAGCTGGCGACTCAATTGGATCGCCCTCCTTCGATATGCTCACACAGCCGTTGCCACGGGCACAACGTTCTACGACACGATGCTGACCTCGGCAATGGAGCCGTAAGGCACCGACGGGCGACGGGCGCGGCGAAACGCCGGCTCAGCGGCGGCGGGCTCCAGTTCGCAGCACGGGTACCTGAGCACACCACCTGACTGAAAACACAGCCACCCGCATGGCGAACAAGTCTTTGCAATACGCTTAAAAAGATTATGCCTTAACCGAGTGATCTTGAATGCAGCGCATGCCGCATAGGACACCTAGCGACAGTGAATTCTAGTACACCTTTGCCACAAATAGGTACGCCTGCAGTAAAATTATCATCCAAGCTAAACTAGCTTGACCTTAGTCAACAACACGTAAGATGGAGCGCATCTTATATGCAGGTAATGCTGACAGGCGAGGTCATTGGTTTTTAGGGCCGAGGTCATTTGTTCCATTAATCGCTGAGGGTCAATAGCATTGGTAAGGACCAATAGCCGATTTCTATGATCGCCGGAACGGAAACTATGCGACGCCCCACATTCTAAGATAGAACAAGCGGGAACATCAGAACACACAAGAAAAGTCATCAATATGTGATGTTGATGACTTCACCAAAGCTTGACAGCTTCCAAATGCATTGTAGTATTGTAGTCAGTTGCGACTTGTACCATTAGGAATAAAGGTGGTGCAAAACATGCAAACGTGCATTTGCGCACATATTCTACGCAATTACATGTACATACAAGCAATTGCGCCAATTACAGAGGCTCACCAGGAGAGCCAGCGCCTGCCCTACCCGGCCCTGTCCGGTCTGGTCCTACCCTGCAGCTTACCCTGCCCTGCCATGCCCTGTCCGGACTCCGGACCGCCGCGCCGGCCCGGACCGGCCCTACCCTATATGCCCGGCCTGGTCCTACCCTGCCCTGGCCCGGACTCCGGACCGCCGGACTGGACCGGCCCTACCCCTGCCCGGACCGGCGCGGCAGTGCCGTGCAGGACGGTCCAGACAGAGTGTCGGCAAATTGATCTCCAGGGTGGCGGCGTGCGACCGCATTGATCACCGACTCGTGTTCCACAGGCCCTACCTGCCTGCGGCCGGCGCGCAGCACCAGCCCCGGAGAGGGCCAGCTCCGCACCCCTGGCTATAGGTGCCGCGCCCTCCGGCTGCCGGCCATCTGCAGGGCAGGGCCGGCAGCTGACCGCCAGGCTCCGGCCCGCAGACCGACTTTGTGAGAGTCTCCCCTGGGATCACAGCGGCAACAGAGCACCGATCGCCAGCAGCGGACCGGCCGCACAAGCTCGGCAGTACACCGAGCGGACCGGACCCAGTGGCGCAGCCAGGGGGGGGGGGGGTCAGAGGGTCAGCTGACCCCCCCGAAATTTCTGTCAGGGGCCCGCTCGAGAGAGAGAGAGAGAGAGAGAGAGAGAGAGAGAGAGAGAGAGAGAGAGAGAGAGAGAGAGAGAGAGGGAGGGAGGGAGGGAGGAGAGAGGTCCTAATCTAACCGGACGAGAAAACTGGCCCGGGCCCACTGAGTGGATGGGGCCCGGGCCCCCCGTGGATGGGTCCGGGCCCCCGGGAGAACGGGCCCCGGGCCTCGGGTGGACGGGGTCCGGACTCCCGGTTGGATGGCGCCCGGGCCCCCGGGAGAACTGGCTCGGGCCCCTGGGAGAACGAGCCCGGACCCCCTGGGTGGATGGGGCCCGGGCCCCCGTGGATGGGTCCGGGCCCCCGGGCGAACGGGCCCCGGGCCCCGGGTGGACGGGGCCCGGACCCCGGTTGGATGGGGCCCCGGCCCCCGGGAGAACGGGCCCGGGCCTCCCGGAGAACGGGCCCGGGCCCCCGGGAGAACTGGCCCGGGCCCCTGGGAGAACGGGTCCGGGCCCCCGGGAGAACTGGCCCGGGCCCCTGGGAGAACGGGTCCGGGCCCCTGTGTGGATGGGGCCCGGGCCCCCCGTGGATGGGTCCGGGCCCCCGGGAGAACGGGCCCCGGGCCTCGGGTGGACGGGGTCCGGACTCCCGGTTGGATGGCGCCCGGGCCCCCGGGAGAACTGGCTCGGGCCCCTGGGAGAACGAGCCCGGACCCCCTGGGTGGATGGGGCCCGGGCCCCCGTGGATGGGTCCGGGCCCCCGGGCGAACGGGCCCCGGGCCCCGGGTGGACGGGGCCCGGACCCCGGTTGGATGGGGCCCCGGCCCCCGGGAGAACTGGCCCGGGCCCCTGGGAGAACGGGGCCGGGCCCCCCTTTGTAGATAGGGCCCGGGCTTCCCGTGGATGGGTCCGGGGCCCCGGGAGAACTGGGCCGCTTGGGCGATTGTTTCGCTGTAATTTTTGTAGGGTAGCTGCATCCCTTCTACCAAAGGTCGGGTACTGTTGATCTATGTGAGTGACCCCCACTGCACGTGCAAAATACAAAAAGAAGAGGTGCCAAATTTGTTCCCATTTCAATAACTCGGTAATTACTGGGGCGATTTCGCTGAAACTTGGCATACAGGTAGGCACCCAACAGGCAATGCGATCCCATGTGTTGCGGTTAGGGTGTTACTGCACGTGCGCACGTGCAGCGGGGTGCTTCCAGATCTCGAGAACGGCTGGGCCGATTGCGCTCAAATTTGGTACACGGTTGGGGATCGGTTAGTAGGGTGCCGTGCAAAAGTCAGTTTGGACCCCGTTCGCACGTGCGCACGTGCAGAATGCCGCTTCCTGATCTCAGGAACGGCTGGGCCGATCGCGTTCAAATTTGGCGCACCGCTAGCGACCGGTTAGAAGGGTGCTTTGCAAATGCACAAGCCTGTTGGAAGTACCCTCTCGCCCTTCCGCACGTGCAGGGCTCACTATCTCGCTCGCTCGTTCTTCGCCCAAAAGGCGTTTTACTGGTAGTAACATATTTCTGTCGATACAATTGTAGTGTGAGAGTTGGGTTTTGGAGGCTGTCGTCTCGGCGCCGCGGGGAGCGTCGGCCGGCCGCCGTCTGCCCCGTCCCCTCCGGTGTGGACGGAGGGCACATCTGGTGTCGGAGCGGTCCCGGCGGCCGTTCGTCCCAGTTTCGGGGCCATGCCGGCGCGTCGGATAGGACAGAGGGGGAGTCGTGTCCGAGCCATGGGACCGCACGGTGGTGTGTGAGGGTGAGCGAGCAATACAAAGCAATCTGGCAAAGATTACCTTTTACAAGCTATTTCGGCAACATGCCTGAAGAGAGCGATGGTGCAGTGACGCGGCAGTGATCGGCACCGTTTGCAACGACTTGCAACGGAGCTGTCGAGGCAGTGAGAAGCAGGGGTCGCCCAGGAGCCGTGGCGTCTGCCGTGGACCCCGCCCGTCACCTCGTCTGTCCCGGTGGCTGCTGCTGGACCGGCCCATACACAGCCGGCCGGGAGGATCGGCAGATACGGCGAGGTGGACTGCGACCGGCAGAAGAACCTAGTGCCGCTGGACTAACTGGACACTGAGCGGCTGGGCCGCTCTGTGCAATGCTCTGGCGAGTGATGCTCGCAGTGAGGGTGCTGGCGAGTGATGCTCGCAGTGAGTGCGCTGGCGAGTGATGCTCGCAGTGAGGGTGGTGGCGAGTGGTGCTCGCAGTGAACGTGTTGGCGAGTGATGCTCGCAGTTAGTGCGCTGGCGAGTGATGCTCGCAGCGGTGAAGGTGACAGCCGGTGGGGCTGTGGAGGTGGTGGCAGCCGGTGGGCTGTGGAGGTGGTGGCAGTTGCCGGCACTGCACTGGAAATTCCGCAGGAGGGCCGTGTGGTGGCAGTCGCCAGCACTGCAATGGAAATTCCACAGGAGGGCCGTGTGGTGGCAGTCGCCGGCACTGCACTGGAAATTCCACAGGAGCCGTGTGGTGGCAGTCGCCGGCACTGCACTAGAAATTCCACAGGAGGGCCGTGTGGTGGCAGTGACCGGGACTTTTTAGAATAAGTGTCTGATTGTTTGTGAGCTCGTGGTTTTTGTGTGCATTTGATTTAAGGTGACCAATTGATTTTGTGTGCGCCTTTGATGGACAGGAGAGGGCAAGTGGTTGAATGAGAGAGCTGGTAGTTTCGTGGCATCTGTGGTCCGTGTGTGCATTTGATTTAAGGTGACCAATTGATTTTGTGTGTGCCGTTGATGGACAGGAGAGGGCAAGTGGTTGAATGAGAGAGCTGGTAGTTTCGTGGCATCTGTGGTCCGTGACAAAATTGGTGAGCCTGGCCAAGCGCATTTCTTCATGCCGGGCGCTGCACGTAAAAAGATTCTTAAATGATTGGGGAAGGCACGTGGACATTATGCGTGCTGATTAGGAGCGTTTAAGAGAATGGCTTAGGATTGCTTGCCTGGTTGTGTGCGTGTTTGTGTTAAAATTTCAGTGGTTGATTCTTGAGAATCAGGGGAAGGTGTAGTGTGAGAGTTGGGTTTTGGAGGCTGTCGTCTCGGCGCCGCGGGGAGCGTCGGCCGGCCGCCGTCTGCCCCGTCCCCTCCGGTGTGGACGGAGGGCACATCTGGTGTCGGAGCGGTCCCGGCGGCCGTTCGTCCCAGTTTCGGGGCCATGCCGGCGCGTCGGATAGGACAGAGGGGGAGTCGTGTCCGAGCCATGGGACCGCACGGTGGTGTGTGAGGGTGAGCGAGCAATACAAAGCAATCTGGCAAAGATTACCTTTTACAACAATCTACCACAGCAGCCAATAGATGACTTAGGACAGGCACATGGGACTACTTAAATATTGTCCGATAGAAGCAGGCAACAGCTCTGTTAGCGTATATGCTATGCATATTGCGGAAGGGGCACATTTCGGCCTCGAAAGATACGAATTCGTATCTCATGGTAACATATTTCTGTCATGGTCAATTCGCGTAGAAATTGAACACCGGTCGGGTGATTACCGAGCTATTGCTCTATCAAAATTTTCCGATTCAAACTCGCTTAGGGTTATCGTGTAGGTAAAGGGGGCCCGCTCAGCAGAATGCGTATGAAATATGGAAAAATTCTGAAAAATGGGTGGGGGCCCGCACACTAGGGGGCCCGCTTTGGAGGCGATGACCCCCCCGAAACCAAATCCTGGCTGCGCCACTGACCGGACCCGAGCGGACCATTGGTGTAGTCGACTACAGAATGATGTTCCACTCCTCAGAAGCTATCAGTTGACCGGAGCGCTAAGTTGTGCCGTTTATCACGCAATCAAGCGTGTCGATTGTGAGCATTGGCCATTGGGACAAAGCTATCATTTGTGAACTCAGCACGTGTGGCGGCACAGCCTACCACTCCAGGCAAATAATTGCCTGTGAAAAGTGGAACATCATTCTGTAGTCAGACTATACACCAGGAGGACCGGCGCGACACGGGGGGAGGGGGGGGGGACTCAAGCAGCGGCGGCCAAAAACCGAAAACGAGCGGCGCCTGAACTGTGCGCGGTCATACACCGGACCCGAGCAGCATTTCAGCTGACGCTGAGTGTGGCCACCTCGACGCGCCGCCCGCTGCCTGCTGACCGCTGACGCCGCCCGCTGCCCGCTGATGTCGCCCGCTGACCGCTGATGTCGCCGCCCGCTGACCGCTGACGTCGCTGCCCGCTGACCGCTGACCGCTGATGTCGCTGCCCGCTGACCGCTGACACCGCCGTCCGCCCGCTGATGCCGCCGCCCGCTGACCGCTGACCGCTGACGCCGCCCGCTGACCGCTGATGTCGCCGCCCGCTGACCGCTGACGGCGCCCGCTGCCCGCTGACACCGCCGCCGCCCGCTGATGCCGCCGCTGACCGCTGACGCCGCCCGCTGACCGCTGATGTCGCCGCCGCCGGCCGCTGACGCTGCTCGGAGCTGCACGGGCGCCGTGACGCGGCGCCGGCCGGTCGGCCGGTGAGAGATGGGCTGGCTGCCAGTTGTGGCGCAGGTGTCCCTGTGCGGCGAGCAGCGGCGCGGAGTCACCACGTCCCCGCCGCGCGCCGGTCAGCTGCGGCCCGTCACCAGCGAACGGCGGAGAGTCGGCGGCCATGCACCCCACCTCCGCGACTCCTCACATTCAGTTCACACGTCCTGCTTACGATTCCAAAGCAAAAACTGCCATCCGTCGCGCCAGCCCCCTCGGCGATTAAATTGCCGTGGGGGCTGGTGCCGTTCTGGTGCCAATTAAAGTGCCGTGCCAGCACCTCTGACCGGCTGCTCATTAATCCGTCGTCATGGCACCGAACGCCTCGGCATGTCCGCATGGTGCCGGCCGAAACGCCAGAGAATGACCATCACATGCAGGGCGCACCGCGTCGGGCGCGGCGCAATAGAGCAAACAGGTCCGTGACTGGACTGGCAGAGGGCAGCGGCAGAGGCCCACAGAGTGGCAGAGGGGCTGCGGGTAAGCCCAGAGAGTGGCAAAGGGGCTGCGGGTAAGCCCATAGAGTGGCAGAGGGGCTGCGGGTAAGCCCAGAGAGGCAGAGGGGCTGCGGGTAAGCCCATAGAGTGGCAGAGGGGCTGCGGGTAAGCCCATAGAGTGGCAGAGGGCTGCGGCCGAGGCCCAGAGATTGGCAGAGGGGCTGCAGGTAAGCCCAGAGAGTGGCAGAGGGCTGCGGCAGAGACACAGAGAGTGGCAGAGGGCTGCGGCAGAGACACAGAGAGTGGCAGAGGGGCTGCGGCAGAGACACAGGGAGTGGTAAGGTCGCACAGCGCACCAGCGGAGGCAAAGAGCGGCAAATATAGCTGTATCCTGCCGACGCACCCGAACAGTAGTGTTTGATTAGGCAGCGATAATGTCATGAGCCGAACCGTCAAAGGTCCCGAGAAAACGTGTCGGCGTTGTTTCAGTCGACTGAATATGCTAAATGTTAGGATGACTTAGCCCGTCAATGTGGGCTGCAGAGCTCCAACTCGACGAGACTGATAGGCCGCAAGTTACATGGTCCAAATCACGCTTGTCTCGCATTGCTAATAGGCTTACTCAATGCATATTGCATAGGTATATGATGCCATTACTGCAGTCAATGTAAAAGGAGACAATAAAAACATTGGTATGGAAAAGTATAGTACCTACGATATTTCAGAATGCAGACCCGCGTAATGCACGCTGGGAATGCGCGCTGGCCGTGCTGGCGGGCAGTGTCAGTCGGAGCCAGTTGGAAGCCAAGCTGATTGCTGCTCCAGTTCTCACACCTGTAGAAACTCCTTATTATCGTCATCCTCCTCCATGAAATGACTGCAAAAGTCTTGCAGAGAAAACCAAGCATTAGGTACGAAACGTAATTTAATATGCCCTGGTACGAAATACCTACCAATGATGGATGAGCTATATTTATAAGGATATTTTGCTTAATTGTAATTTAACCTACTTTCATTGCAGCAATTGCTGCATTTAATTGTACCTAATATATTTAGTTCACCCTATAGATTATGGACTGATCTTGAGAGGTGAATAATACAACGTGGTTCGTTCGCACAAGTTATATTTGATAAGGTATCGTTTTCAGCACTGCAGCTGTGCAGTGGTTTGGCCATAATTTGCTCCACAAAGTTCTGTCCAGCCACTAGGCCTATTGAGGCATAGACATAGACAGCGGTGTGGGACGGGTGTGTGTCTCAACTCTCAATGGTTTCGCTCACAGTCAACACTGAGGTCTTTTTCGAATGCAATCTCTAGTCGGTCTGAGGCATCCAAATCAGGACTTGGTTCCTGGTGCACCATAATCAGAGCAGCCAAGCAGGAGTTAGGCCTTCGTAAATGGTCGTTCGCGTTGAACATAAGTGGTTTGTTGAATACGCTTAACACTCAATTAGTTTTGACAGTCTGACTTCTGAGATTTGTTTTACAGTAATATTGCGAAAAAATGACGGATTGATTACATATTTTTACCTATAGCAAGAAAATTTGACATTTTTATCTCCTCGAGGAATGAGGTTCTGTTTAGCATTTTGCGGAGTTTCGGCCTGCAGCGGAATTCTGCGGGGTTTCAGAGGTCCGGACTCCGGATCCCGGCGGGGTTTGAGAGGTCCGGACTCCGGATCCCGGCGCGCCCGCTAAGGCAGGCTTCTATGAGGCCCACTTAAAAGTGACCATCCCGCCCAAGGCTACAAGGCTTTTGAACTCCATCCCACCTTAACGTTAGTTTGAGTTGAGATAGCCAAATTTGGGTCCCTGGCTTGCACTACCGGTTTGAGCACTCACAACATCGAAAAATGCTTTGATTCCGAGATATTTAATTTCAAAGTCTGCAGTTTTCGGATTCTCAAGGGGCTAATGCATTTGAATGCCCCCTTAGAATTTGTGACGTGAGCGCAAATCTAACGATTTTTAAATCCATACATGAATCTATCGATTCATGTTATCTATGTTAAATCGTATACTAAACCCTTTGGTAAAACGGGGTGGTATATGCTGCTTTTCGCGCAACATCTGCCGCACTTTTAGGATGCCAAATTATTGCTTCCAAATGACGTCACAGGAACAGCGTAGGTCCAAAAAAGTAAACAAATATTAAATGTACCTAATATCTTGAAAACCAGTGAATATGTTTCAGTGAAATTTGGTAGATATTCGTTTTTGCTCATGCTGAACCGAGAGACATCTTTTTAATGCCCGTTCATTTACTTTTCTGAAGGTGGGAGTCGGGAGGGTCCCTTTAAACCGCGCCCCGGAGGGCTAATTGGCGGAGCCTGTCATACGTAAGGGGGGGGGGAGCATCTCGGAAAGCTACCGACCGATTTTCAAAATTCAGACGGCATTAGATAGCCCCACCGAGGAACTATCAGGATGAGACCTAGGTTTGAAACGGGAAGAGCGGAACGCAAAACTTTTTCTGGTCGCCAATGGCAGAACATGACGTCATTCTGACGTCATTTGTAGCCAACCAATCATAGCCTCTGGGAAATGTTTGGCCCTAAGGTGTAAAACTGATGCCCGGAGCGGTCCTGCGAGTTTGGTGACGATATCCGCTGCACTTAAGGAGATATCGACAGAAAAGGAGAGGGGGCGCCCCCCCCCCCCCCCCGGAGCGCGGGCCGGGACGACCGAGTCCTCCAACCGAGAGACCAAAACAGGCCAAGACTTCCACCGAGTCGGGACGAAATGGCGGCCTTACGTCGATTCCGCTGTGCCACCACACTCGCCGTCAAATGGTCCATTATGGACCATCCGTCCATTCGATTCACAGAATAACGAAATGAATGTCAAGCCAATGCGAGTTTCAATAGAGTGTTCATAATTCATATACATAGATATCAAAATACGTATAGGTACCTATACCACAAGTACGTATCAGTGACCAATCGCCTTT